GTAATCAGGCCTAGAATGGTGATCTCTCAGGAACGTAACCATATGAGCAGAGAATCTGACCATCTGGCTTCCGCTGCAGCTAAAAATCGCGGGGGACGGGAGGAGACTGACGAATGTCTCTCAGCTCCTGCCGCCTGTCAGTGTCAAGATGTCTCTTTTAAAAATAAAACACTGTTGTCAGAAGCTGTTAAGAGCCAATAGTGTGATAGCAGGGAAATGTAAGGCCCTCTTGACGGAGAACTTCCTTCTTTTTTTTTTTCTTCTCCCCCACACACAAGGGAGAAAGAAAGAAAAACTCATTTTGAGTTTTTTTGTTGTTGGACTGATTCCAGATAGCCACACTGGGTGGGACAGTTATGGGACGGGAATGATATAAAAATCTGTGTGCAGTATAATGATTGGCTTATCTCCGAAGCTCACAGAGCACGAATCCCTCACCCCGTCTGGTCTCCTGTCAATTCTTTATTGTGGGGAAGTAGCTTTCCCCTTTCTGCTCCATTGAAAGCCGAGGAGATGAGAATATGTAAGTGAGGACAGGGAGTAGAAATCCTGCATTAGTTATTTCATTTCCAGTGACTTAGCACCAAGCTGTTGCTGTTGCTGTGATTTCCGAGGCGCGCCGTGACCGATGTCGGGGAGACCGTTGCTCCTCCGTAATACATAAATTCCACTAATTAGAGATCAATGGCTCATGCTTGATGTAATTAGGCCGGATGGGACGTCCCCGCAAAAAAACTCAGACGTGTGCTCATCTGTTTTCTTTTTCCTTATCTCCCCGATCAGTTCTATTGTGTATAACATAAAACATGAAAACGATCCCCTTGGCAGACATGCCCTGCCTAGACATGGTTCAGGAGAGCGGTGTCCGCGGCAGCACTTTGACAGCCGGGTTATGGTTTCTGGTCCCAGTAATGAAGGACTACTGAGTGTGTCATCCAGGAAAAGGGCCTCTCCCCTGTCTGTCTGTCGGCCAGCCAGCTGGATTCAATCCTACACCTCAGAATAACACCAGGCCTCAAACGCTCTCGTACGGCCACCCTTTGCTTTAATAGGCAGAAACAGCTCATTAAATCAAAACAGTGGCTAACCCTCTCCATAACAGAACTGGTAAACTCACATTTGTCAGACAACGGCTAAATCATTTAGTCGTTTGAGTTTTCTTTTTTTCCCCTCTTTTATCTCCGTTTCCAGCTTACACATCATTCTGCTGCTTTTTGCACGGCCAGCAAACCGCAGTGATTGAAAGCGGAGAAACACAAGGAGCCCTGCGCAAAAGTAATACTACAGTGGCTCAATTTCCCCCCCAGTCAGAGAGCTGTGTCTGCCCCGGCAAACTGCCCACGATATACAGAACAAGAGAGGGGGATTAACCAAAATGTCAAGAGAGACAGGTTAAGCTGACGGGATATTGGTTTATATTGAAGGGTCTCACTTTCAAAGTCAAAAAGTCCGAAACTTCTCAAAGCAGGAGTCTTCAGTCATATTCAGTCATGTCGTGTTGCTAAGCAGAGAAAATTCAATTTCCACAGACTTTCATTTGACTTTCAGGAGGGGAGGGATGGTCACAGAAACTCTAAGCTTTTTTGGAAGCAGAGGAAATGGCTCCAAAAAAATAATGTTTGCAGAATAAACAAATGGGGAGGAAGAAAAAAAAAAAAAGTATAATTAAAATCAGCCAAGGACGCTGAAAGTCCCAACATTTTACATACAAATCCCGGGCTAACGCGCTCGTGTTAATCGTCCTGCTCAGCGGTTAATGTTGGAGTTATTTGATTTTGGAAACTTCAGCTGGCAGTCATATACTAAAGGAGGAATGGCAGCGCAGACTGTGCAAAGCCTTGAGGAGCGTTTTCATGTACGACTGTGAGTGTGTTTCAGTACAGAGATTTGCCTGAAGTGAAATTCCAAATGCCTCATCTGGTCTGATTTCCCTGCGCTATAAGACCAGACTGGGCTTCATTAGCAGTTGCTGCTGTGCTTTATTGGCACGGAAGATCCCATTTTCACTACAGAAATGACTTGCCACCAGCTGCAAATTGACAATGCGCCATATTTCCTCGCGAGTCAACTCTTATTAACAGCAATTCCTGGGATCCGTGCCTTCCCTCCCTCCCTCTCCCCTCCACCTCCCGTATTCAAACACAGCAGTGTCATCAGCAGGTAAATTTGAACAGTCGGGATCTGAGGACCTCACAGGCTTTGTTTACCACAGTGAAAACGACTAAATATAGGCGAGCGGCGTCGCCAGCTGCCTGCACCTCGTCGCTAAAGTCATCCGGATGCGTCTCGTCGCGCCGAGCCGACATCTGAAGGACGCATCAAGTCACACATCAAAATTCACGTTCAAGTTTCGAAACTCCCCAACAATGACGGGTGTTGCTCTCCATTAGCCAGCTAATCCTCCGGCACAAAAGCACCCGCACTGTATCGATGATTACTCCTCTCCAGAATATCAGGCTGTTCTCTGACTGATGGCGGCTGCAGCAAAGGTTAATTAATGAGCAGTGGCAGGAGCGATGGCTGCCGGCGAGGGAGAGGCTCTCCTGGGACTCGGATCCACCAGTGGCGACAGATAAAGGTGGAAAAGGAAAGGGTATGACTACTCAGCTGAAATTGAGTCCCCCCCCCTTTTTCTATCTGGATAACCTCCATGTACTTAATAGCGGGTAGAAAGCCTCTTGATCACTTAGCCAAGCTCGACGCGCGGCATTAGATCATAATGCGGCTTTTCATCATATTCGGTGTAAAACCTTATTTCATGCAATGATTACGTATTGGTTATCAGACATCAAAGATAATCTAGGCGGCAACCCCGACTTAAATTAGTTCTGCAAATCTGCTTCTTGTGATCAGACATCAAAAGGTTTTCATAAAGCATATTTGTCTTCCTGTGCAGCGGCGTTACTTTCAGACAGGGGAATAAATTCTATAGAAAGACTCTCTGACATATCGCTTCATTTTTATCCCGTCTGTAAGATTCCATTAAATTTAATTGGTACAGATTATCTATGCAGACTTCAAGCCTGTGTGTGTGTGTGTGTGAGCTTTATGGGGAGGAAGCGGTGACATAAATTTCAAAGATAATCGGTGATGATAATCTGCATTCCTTCCACAAATATAAAATCAGCGCTACGTTTATATAAATTTATCATAAATTGCGGCCATTTATATTATTATTTAATATACCATTAACTCACCCTTCACACGTAAGTTATAAACGGCCACTGAGGGCAACATTAAGGCCGCTGGTTGTCACTAATAGTCAAATAATTAATAATTAGTCTCCAACAAAGGGCTCATAAACATCAATTCTGCAGTTACGTGTGTCGTTAATTTCAATTATTCCGCCGCTTCAAAGAGATATTTCACAACCTGCAGAGATGAAAGCTGCTCTCAGATCTCAAATATATGCATAAATATATAATTCATCATTAATAAAGATATTAGCTATAAAATGTGAGCCTTATGTAAATGCTGACTGTAAAGCAACATTATAAATTCAGTCCATTTATCACAGGACAGCCGTTATACAGGCTTTATAAACGGTGAAGAATAGCTTCATTAGCGTTAATAAATAATTAATTATTAATATTACTTTTAGATTAGGTGTAAGGCGTTAACAAGTGCAACTCGGATTTCCAGGTTGTGAAAAATCCCATTAGACTGTAAAACATTAATTGTCAGATCATGAATAAGTCATGACGGCTATCAAGTGCGCAAGTCGTTAATGAAGTCAATTGTAATCAATTACAATTAGTTAGTAAATGTTAATATGTTATTGACAAATGGGTTGCCGCGGTAATCCATCAAGCTGTGAACGTTAATAAATGCTTCATAAATGGATAAAGGTGCCCCGAAAAGGTGAAATAAGAGTTGGAAGTAAGAGGAAGTGTTGAGATCCTTCTGTGTAGTAAACAACACGGCAGAGACGCTCTTTCAAGTAAAAGAAATGTTCCCAACCAATGAAGAATCTAAATCTAAGGTGTCATAAGATGATAAATGTTGCAGGAAAGAGAAAAAAACAAAGTTCTGCTTCACAGGTTTATATTCAGTTTAGGAACCCTGAGCTGAACCTTTGCCTTTTTCTTTTTTTTTTAAGTGCAGCATTTGATACCTCTTCAGGCTGTATTAAATAGTTTAGAAGTTTAGAGGGGACGTCTCTTTTTTTATTGTAAGGAACTGTGTGTACTAGCCAGCTCCACACAGCTCTTTTAAATGTGAATAATTAAAAGGTCAAACAAGGTTCTCCAGATCAATATATTCAGTGTTAACAATCACCTCTGCATTCAGAATTAACCAAAACAGACTCAACAGTCACAGAGCACAAGTCCAGACTTGTAGAAACCTCCCTTCCAAAGCATTCGCCTTGAGGTTTTTTTTTTTTTTTCACTGAATAATGTGCCTCTGCATGGAGGGATTAGGCACAGAGGACCCTGCCAAGCATTAGAGTGTTACAGGAGGGATCAAGAACAAATGAGTAATGAAATGACTGACTCACCATTCACAGACATGAGACACGGCATGTGCACTCTGGAAGCCCGCTGCCGTTAAGTTCCCCGTCGCAGTCGGAGCATGGCGTAAGAACTTCCTGACATGTTTTTAATTGTTGGTTCCTCCTTGTCATGCACATCAGCCCTATAAGCAATTAGGCTTCCGTCATCCGTGTCTAATAAAATGGGGGGAGTTTTGCTGGTGCATAATTGTGGCAGCACGGAGACATCTGCATAAGCAGGCGCATTACTAGCAGGTTCGCAGTAATCATAGTGAAAGGGAGCGTGTACAAATTAATATTTGTTCTGTCTTTTGTGGTGACGGATAATAGGTAGCTCAACACACCGCTAATGACAGTCACGTGGTAGACGCGTTCATCATCGTGCGAGATAATTAACTTCACCCCGACGAAGACTTGTTGCCAATATATTTATGAATTTATTGTTTTCTTTACATTACCTCCACCTCCTGCTCCAGAGCCCACAGAAAAACGAAAAAAAAAACTTTTCTTTTTTTTTATAAAGAAATGATTGTAATTCAAGGCCACAGAAGCAAGGAACCATATCCCCAAGAGCAAATACAAAACAGAGTTGGTAACAGGATTGCAACACCAAAGTGAAAGCATGTCTGCCAAGTCTACACATTCAAAGACCACAAACATCAAACAGGTTTTCCAGCCAGTCAAGGGTTTCAGTGTTCATAGAGAAGAAAACAAACAGGACTGTTTCTAGCTGAGGAAAGAAAAAAAAACATTTCCAAATGAACACTGTATGTTTCTTTTTCTGTGTGTGTGTGTACAGATGCAATGGAGAGTCCATACATGAGTGCACCATCTGCATGTGATCCATTTACAGTACAGAAATGTTTAAGCAAGACAGCATCAAAGGTTACTGAGTAGCGTACATTTTTGCCCAGGCCACGGAGCATAACATCACAGAGTAGAAATGGTCTCTGACTTTTTTTTTTTCTTCCTTTTTTTTTTTTTTTTAAGCTATACTTAATATTCATCCCCTGTCCAGTGCACTGCTCGCTGTACTCTTAAAAAGACAAAAAAAAAAAACCCTCCAACACATCATCGGGTATCTCAGTGACCACAACAAGAAATGGAAACTTGTGCTGTTTGCGTTTCCTCCAGGCCCTTTCATAGTGAAGACATCACAGCAATAAAACACAGGGTAAGCCGCAGTTATGGCATTTTGCAGATTAATATGAGTAGCTGAGGGGGGTGCTTCGGAAATTGCTTTGACTAGAAATGTGTCAAGGCTGACAGTTTTTTTTTTTTTTTTTGCTTTTTTTTTTACAGTTTGATACCTATTAAGCACTTCCCTCTGATCTAATTCAATAAATGCTGAAGGGAGTTACAATAATCATATTCATTCTTGATCCTTTGGGATATATGTCTTTGGAAACCCATAAATACTTCAAAACTTTCTTTCTTCTAGACATAATATCTTTAGAGGTTTATACATCTTCAGAGATTTTTTTTTTCATACTTCCCAGCTAATCGAGTACATACAGTAAAAGTTAGCCTTGGAAAAATGCACTGAATCCCACATACAATCAAAAGAGTCCCTGTGAAAGTGCTAAGCCACCAAACCGTCATGACATCTTTGAGCTTCAAAAAGAAATGTACAAAAAAAAAATCCCTCTACAATCTGTATCGTTTAGACGTCTGTATCGTTGAAGGTTGCAGTCGTCTTCTCTGTTTTTTTTTTTTCCTTTGAGCCCAAACGTTGCAGCATTTTTTAGGTTTTTAAAGGGAAACAGCACTTAAAAGTTCTGATAGTAAAACGACTGCCAAATTAGTTTCCCAAAGCTACAAAACTTCTTAATGAGCTTCATAACACATTTGTTCCAAACCGGTAAATACACCCAAATGCCAAAAAAAATGTAAAAAAAAATAAACATCAAGTAGGTAAACACAGATATGAATTTTGCACAAATCTTCCTCTGACATCACATATTAGCAGTGGGGGCGAAAAAAATCTCTTTCTAAGACACTCAGAGACTTCAAGGGCGATAAAAATTTATGCTAAAATTCAGTGATATTCGTCTGCATGTAAGACACAAAGGTCTAAAGTCTCACTCAATAAAAGAGTGCTATAATAAGTGTGAAGGGCTGCTGGGGGGGAAAAGAACAATAACATAAGCTCCCTTCCACCTATTTTAATATAAAATATTCTTCCCTCACAAACATCTGTTGCCTCATTCGGTTCAACACCTTTATGTAACAACAAATACAACAAAGAGAAAAGAAAAAAAAGACAACTTCTTTTTTAAAATTTAAGGTCAGTGCAAAAAAAATAAAATACAAAAAAAAAAAAAAAAATGTGACTGGCAGCTACAGTAAACAAGACAGCTCAATATCAGCTGACCAGCAGCGTTTAACTGGCAAACCTGGTGTAACCGAGACCCTTCATCACACTTCCACACACGTCCTCTATCAGTCTGATGTCCTTTCGAGGCATTTTTTGTCTCCACATGTTGATGTTGGCTGGTGAGATGTCTCCCTCGTACATCAGATTGTACAGGTTCGTGGAGGTGGTGAATATGAGTTGATTGAGTGCTGCGGGTGACACAGGAACCCCCAGAAAGGTGTGTATGGTCTCTGCAGTCTCCTGGGGGAAGTTGACCACGTCCTCAAACCTCACTTGGAGGTAGGACTCCTCGGGAAGCCCCTCGCTGACCCTCAGCACCGCTGCAGTGTGAGCCAGCCACAGGTGAGCCAGAATCAAAACAGGGTTTGTCTCAGAACGGGACAGCAGCCGTTGGATTATTTTAAACTCTGGCGCAACAGCTGGGCACCCATCCCTGACGGCGTCCTCCTTGAATATCAAGGAAAGGTGCTGTGGGATGTTTTTAAGGGAGTAAAGGCTGGGTTTGCTGTTATAAACCATGAGATAAATCCACGCTCGCGGGTCTCTCACTAAGTAGATTGTCCTCAAGGAAGGTCCCACCACTTCCTGAATGAAAGGCAGTTTGAGAGCCCAGCTTCCGCTGCGCATGTTGAGGACCACCCGGGCGTTCGGGTACTCGGCAACATGGCGTCTCATCTCTCGGACGTACTCTGCGTCTCTGTCCAGGCTGGCCCTCAGCTTGCCCTTCAGCTCGGCCGACGGCTCTCTCCTCCTGGATCTTTTCTTTCTGTCCCTAGAGGGGGTGGCTCTCTGGGGCAGCTTGACCCTGCTGCCCTCTGCGAGCTGTATATTTTGCAAGTGCAGCTTGGTGTTGTGGACTAGCGAATGCAGCCAGCCCTGAATAATCTTAAACCGCCCGTGCACGGCATCTGACCTTGACCACTCGCAGGCATCGACCAGAGAGTCGAACTCGAACTCCGTCTCAGGAATGTCCACATGCTCGGTGGGAACCCTTATGTAAACAAAGTCCGAGCTGTTGTAGAAAAGGTGCTTGAGTATTTCCGATCCCGAACCGGGAAGGGTTGTTATGACGACGGTGGGGAGGGGGAGCCGGTGCTGCTCGTACAGTCTGATTTGTTTGTTTACTTCGCTTTTGGCACCCGCACCTTTCCATTTTACCCCACAGAGAAGCTGATCGCAGCTGTTAGACACAAACAGCAGCTCGGCTATCCACAGAATGAGCACAGAGAGGAGGGCGTAACGCATCAGCCTGCTGAAGCAAACATAAAACTTTCTCTGCATGGTCAAAAATCCTATGGCCACACAGAGAACCACCCCCGCTATCACATTCACCGTGAATCCAAAGTCAAACAGCTGATTATCAGTGTTGATTTGCTTGGGGATGAGTTGCGTCCCAAGGCCATATCGAGTAATTTGATATCTATCCTCAACTTTGCTGTGACCTCCAAACCCCAGATAAGTCATCCTCGCCCCGATGTCTTTATAATTTGTAGCAATAGAGACAATCTTCTCTGTGTTATTTATGGTCAAAGAGAGCCTCACCCCATTTTTGCTATTATCCATAAATCTGCAGTTGGACACTTTGACATACGGCCCATGTAACACGTAAGCCACTCTGCTGACTGTGCCTGTCATCTGAAAAGTGACATTGACATACTGTGTCCACCTCTTTTTGAACTCAGCTGCCTGTTCTGCCTCCTGTATCCTGGTATCTGGGCTGTGACCCTGGCTGTCGAACCAGAACATTTTATAATGAGCGTCCCACACATCCATCATGGCGCCGTTATATCTGTCCATGAATCTGAAAGGGACGTATTTAAAGTCAATGTCGAGATTGTGGAAAAAAGCGCTGAGGGACGTGACGGGTGAATCAGCCCACTTCTCCACATGGTCAAGCACGAGCAAAGTCTGCGAGTTGAGCAGAACCAAAGCTCTGAAAACGCTCTTGAGCCTCATGGCGGGGGAATAAGCCGCCACGGCCTCCCCGCTCACAAACATGGTGTCCCTGTGCGAGGAGGCCACGATCACCTCCCCTCTGGCGTCGCCCACCCCCTCATCAGTCCATCGCAGCCACTTAGCACACTCCCCCAGCTGACCCTCCCACGGACTGTTACACTGACTGGTAGGAGACGGACTAAACACCAGAACATTGTTAAGATAGCTGTACTTTGGGCCGTAAAGTGCTTCGGACACAAACACTTGTCCATTAGGGGCGAATGTAAAGGAGTTCTGGTCCGGGTGCTCGTGACCGGGGTTAAAGCTGTTCCAGCCGTCCACCCAGGAGTAAGGCTTGTCGTGGACGATGTCATAAACCGCACGGCCACCCAGTCGGCCAGATTTAAAGGAGACAAAAGTATTACTCTGACCATTGGGAAGCCCGGCTCCATAGGTAACCACACCCCAGTTGGAGAAAATATGCATCCTCGCTTTGCCAAACTCGTGTGGGGGCTGCGGTGTGAGGTGGGAGTTGTACCAGATGTATTCTGTGTGAAGCGTGGCCCAGCGCTGGGCAGAGGACTGTCCCATGGGGCCATCCTTGGGTCGGTGCTTTCTAATCTGTTGAGCCAGCCAGTTCCCCGTGCCGTTCCTCATGACAAACGTGTCGAGGAAAACCAGCTGGCTCTCCGGCCCATAAAACCAGTTGTAGTTGGAGTCCGCGATGCCGACTGTCCTCTGAAAGCCCGGCAGCAGAGTGGCAAAGTAAAACCAAAAGTGTCCCCGCAGCCAGTTGTTCTGCATGTTGTCAATGTTGAAATGACGCTGAGCTAAGAAGACGTACTGCGTGATGGACTTGGCTGTGTAGCTTCCATAAGCTACTCCCTCATCCAGAGACCCATCCACAACATGATTCAGGAGGAACATCGTTTTCTCCATGTAGTTCACAGCCACCTGTTTCCAGATCATTGACTCTGGATTGTCGTGCGACCCCACCACGATCGCGCCAGTCAGGACGGCTAATATGTTGGTGGTTTGGTGATTCTGGAGATACTGTTTCCCCCATCCTCTGTACTTAGAGAGCTCGTACAGCTCCTCCGTCTGAGAGTGAATTTTCTTCAGGTAAACATCCCTCCTGCGCTTATCCAGGTAGGAGTAAATAAAGTCATAAGCAGTGGCGAACCCGGTGAGAGAGTGCGCCATGGGGACCTCGTCGTTAGGCGCGCTGGTCACTTTCCAGTCCGGGTATTCAGCCATCCTATCCATAAACTTGATAAGAAACTGCAGGGCGGCTGAGTCCTCCGGGCACAGCAGGCAGTAGAGAGCCAGTGGAGGCAGGTTGTTCCCATAAATCTCATTCCACTTGCTTGTAAACTCCTCGTGTTTCACAGGGGGCATGTAAAAGGGGACGTTAGACAACATGGTGAGCACAGCCGCCCGGATGACTTTAAATATGTGACTGTGGGTGGTGGAGGACCTTTGCCTCAAGTGCAACACGTCTACTTGGTTAAAATATAGGTTAGGATGGGAGTCAGCAGACTGGAGTTTCCACTGCTCGGTCGCTCTGTCTTGTGTGAGCTTGACCTGCAGCAAGTCATCTGTAAAAATGTCTCTGTCTGTGGCGTTGAAGACCCCCGAGAAAGCCGTCCCCACTGCGAACAGCGGCAGCAAAAAAAGCGGATACACAACCCAGTTACCTGCCATGTTGCCAGGTGTCTGTGCACACATTTCACTGGATTGCACGCAGCTGATTGTTTTCCTCCTCTAACGTGTTGCCGTTTAGTCCCATTTCAGAGTGAAAGTCCATGGGAAATCTATTAGTCAGGTGTGCAACAGTCTGGTAAATTGATATTTTCTACGACAGCATGATGCAACATCCAAACCAGTGCTTGATAGTCAAGAAAAGGGGGCAAAAAACTTTAGTGCAAGAGCAAAAACTATCCATATCCACTTGTAACAATCTGGTTTGCAAAGGCAGCAAAGCACATCACATTTAATACACACAAATGTCTCATGGAAAGAAGTTTTCTGGTTTGATTTGAATTTAAATCCAAGAAAATGGGAAGGGAAAAGCAAAAATCCTCATGGCTGCATGTCCGTCCTCATGGTAATGTGCGTAAAGACTGGCATCTCCCCCCTCCTTTTGCCAGTAACTCATATTGATCTCCTCCCCAAAAACATTTCCTCTCGGACAAACATCAGTCAACCCCAGTCCGTGTCCGGTCCAATCACAGCCACCCAAAGGCTCCGTGTGCAGCCCGACCGAGCTGCAACATCCACGGACAGGAACCTCAGCAAAGCACGCATCTCCGCAGATAACATTGCTTCGGGATCTCCGCTGCAGCCGTGGCGCTTAAATGTGCAAACCCCGATCGTGAATTAGATCAGTTTGCATTGTTAAAGAAAATGAAAAAAGATCCCAACTCCTCTCCTGGTCTTATATAAATGTCTCTCTCTTCTCCGCGCTTTATCTTCTGCGCGTTCAAGTCCGAAAAAGAGGGAAAGTTGTCGTCACTCCTCAAGTATTCAAAGAATGAGACATTTTTTCCCCTCTTCCGATTGTCCGCAGCAAAAAAAAAAAAAAAAAAAGAACAGCAAAATCAGCCCCCTGAATGATGAACAGTCCACATGGAAATCTGCTGTATCTCCGGGGATGTTTGCCTGCTGCCGTCTGACACACACACACATCCCACAAGTACCAAAAAAAAAAAAAAAAAAGAAAGGAGGGGGCTGTGGACGTGCGTAAAAATCTCCGGACGCGTCTCCGTTGTGTCCTCCTCGACTGTTCAACACAGTCAGTTTGATTGTTTTCCTGCACTGGATGGAAAAATTTCCACTGTACAAACTGTAGAGGGAGCCGTGACTTCAGAAGCCCAGTCTCATCTCTCATGCACTGTAAAAGAGAGGAGGAAGGTTCATTTAACCAAAAAAATAAAAAAAAGCCTTCCCCCTCAGTTCTCCTAACAGGACGCTTGATTGATGTTAAGTTCCTGCTTAATATTAAGGCTGAGGCCACCGAAAAGAAATTCTTTTCACCATTAGATAAGCACGCTTTTCTTTCTGTGCATCCACTGTGACATTTAATCCCACTTTTTTTTTTTTTTAGGAAGAAATTAACAGAAATGTTTCCCAAAAAAAGGGGCTCCTGGCATTAAAATATATATTTGAAAGTGCAGGAACCGTGATGGCGGGAAGAGAAAGGAAGCAATTTGCAGAAGGACATGCAATAAAAACAGTAATATAGGGAGGAGCAGTATGCATTGGTCTACACTTAATAAACACCTTGCCTACAGGAAGTTATTTTAGGCAATAAGAGGGATGCAGCTGAGATTACAGCACCTTAAAGGAACAGTTCGGAGCATTGAGAATGGCATTTATTCACTTTTTTGTGGAGAAATGAGACTTGAAGCTGAGCATAAAGACCACAATTATCTTTTAAATAATGTAGTCAGCCGCTTAATCCAATCCTAAAATAACTTTATTTCTGCTACCAAACAGTCAAGAGAAAACAAACGTCTTGCTTAGTTGGAGTTTATTCTGCAATGTGTGTGCATGCCGGGTTCGCCTAACTTAAGCTAACAGTTGGAATAAGATTCTAAGAAGGTGCTTGAGGCCCAAGGATGGCAGCTAAACAACAAACAATTAGACTGCAGCTTCTAAACTGTGACTCTATGCGTAATAGCTCACCTGTCTGAAGTGAAGACAATTAGCGAGCGTCATTTAGCAGTGCGCCCTGATCGATGCTGCGTCAGGGATAATGCACGATTCTAAGCAGCCTAATTAATGGAGTTAGCCTTATTGTGTCACATGCATAAATGCACGCATGCAGCAGATACCGCCTCTGTACGTCTATTATTGCTGTTCAATTAAGTTGGACTTTTTCCTGTCTGCTACTGAATGCTGAGCTAATTTCAACCACTTTACATGCTGCTTGGTGGTTTATTTGGAGATGCATAAAGACAAGAACCTCAAAGTTGTACCTAATTACTGTATTTGAGTAAATTTACTTCTTTTTTTCTTCACATTGCACCACTGTTAATAGTCTTGGTGCCAGCAATGTCAATGTGGATCTGATTGGGACTTGACAGAAAACAAATAGAGATATATACGTATTGACAAGTGGGAAAGCCGCAGAGCAAAGCAGATGAGACAAAACTTCACAATAAAGGAGTTTTTCTCAGCTAAAGGAATGCAAACTGTGTCTTTTGTGCCGTCTGTGATGTTTATGGATCAGGTTGTTTATTTGGGCAGACAGAGACAGAGAAGTGCTCGTATTATGCCAAAAGTATGGCGGTTGGCAACCTTGGCGTGGTATTAAATCATTCTTTAGGCTATCTTGAAATGTGAATGAAATTGTAATCCCTATTTTTTACTAAATGTAGAAGTAATCTGACTACATCCTTGTTTTTTGTGTAACTCTAACAGTAACTTTTTCTGTGTTCTAGCTACCGCTCCATGTTACTCTACAAGCCTAATCAGGACAGAAGCAGCCTACCAACTCCGGTAAGCCCCATTATTTAACATGTTTTATGTAGTTTGTTTAGTCTGTGCAAGTACTGAAGTGTAAAAACCAAATTTACTGGATAAGGGGAGGTTTGGTGCCAGACTTTTTCTTGGCTGAGACCATTTGCTTCATCTGAGCTGGATGTCTAACTGCACCCAGCAAAGATAAAGTCATATAAAACCACATTTTTGTACGGATTTAAGGAAAAAGATTTAGTAAATGTGGCTGAGGTGCTAGTTTGTGATTGTACAGCCAGGCTAGCTGGTCCTCCTGTTTCCAGGCTTCACGCTTCGCTGATCCACAGGTTGTAGCTTCATATTTATTTTACAGGCACCTGATTGGGACGTTATCAGCCAATCAAAGTGTTGCTATCATTTAACATCATTCTCATACACATAGGCAGAGGTTTCCTCCGCCTCCTAGCAGGCCAGAAGTTGCGTTATCATCCATTCTGGTCACTGGTGAACAGAAACTAACCTGTAAAATCTCACGTAATCCTGGAAATATACAAAATAGAGCTTCGTAATATGTGGTAGATGTATTTAAACCCAAAGTATACATCGTTTCTAAACCTACCAAGTAGTTTTGGTGCCTGAACATAACCAAACACTGACTAAAACTGAAAGTAAACAGAGTAAACAACAGCAAGTGAAACCAAAAGTCAAATCAAGACTGAAGTCAAAAGATAATACATAACAATCTTCCTAGACGGGATTTGATGTCAATTCTCCTGACTACAAGTCTACTGATTTCCACCACCTCCAACACATTCCACCTCCCAATGCAGACCTTTGTGTCTCTTCATGAGTGCAAAATCGCAGCTCTATAGCCAATAAATGTGCCGATAACGGCCTACCGAGCCCACTATAACGTGGAAAAGGTCCCAACTGGTTCATACGGACGGGAATGATGCACGATGATAACGCTTATTGAATGGCACGATAACAGCTGAAGCAGGTGCACAAAGCAGCCGTATCAGTGTTCTCATCTAGATTCCAGCAGGAAAATATCTTCCCCTAAATGTCAAACCATTCCTTTAAAAAAAATAACAGTCATTTTTAGGAGTTACGTAATGCGACTATAATTACTCTTATTCAATTTTTTTTCTTTTCACCATTTGACATTTATACCTGTATTTGTACTGATACAATTAAGCAAATGAAAAGCATCACAGGAGAAATCTCAGTAAATATCTCATTTGAAATTAACCATACTTTGACCAGAATGTCTAATTATACCTTTTTATCCTCGGCCTCCATCGCATGCCTTTGTACCACACATCCTACGGCAACAGAAAAAGGCATCCAATAACCTCAGAAAACATCTCCCCTTCGAGAAATGTGTGACATTTGCCTGCCCTAACGTGTGCAACCATGGGCTCATTGATCAACTCATTCTGTGTATATTAGGTGTCTCTGCAGCGTCTTCATTTAATGATGGATTGCTTTCTCTGTACCTAGTTCACATGTGTGTTCTGCAGCATGCTATCCCACAGGGACCGCTGTTGCATGGAGTGTTTTTTTTTTTTTTTCTTCCCACACTTTGAAAGCATGCTACAGACACACAGTTGTCTTTATCAGGATCTCTGCCGGAGACACGCATAGCGATCTCTTGGGGGACAAAAATTTTCCATACGGAGAGGAGATGCACGGTAAAAAAAGAAAGAAAAGCTACCTCAAAATAAACACTAATGACAATCTTAAACTTAAGGTAAACATGAAGATTATTCTTTATGATTCAAAAAGAAGGTTTACATCTTGTTATAAAGCACCAGGCCACTTGCTGGCCTAGTTTTAGCCTCAAACTCCATACAATGCGTAATCTCATAGTATGTTTATTATTGTACACAGAGTGATAAAATCATCTTTTGGTAACAACAAATACATCCTAGCCACCCTGACTAGAAAATTGCTTTTTGACATTGAATCACGGTCAATCGAATGTGGCTTTCATGACAAGAATTTATCCAGAGGAGAATTGTAAGTCAATTAAAAGAAGGTTCTTTGGTCCGATGAGTGCAAAACTGACACCGGCCATGACGCTTAAAGTGGTGTTTGATGGACACTAAATATGCACACCATCATAAACACACCATCCCCACCTTAAAGCATGGAGGTGGCAACATCATGCTGTGGTCGTGCTTCTCTGCAGCAGGCATTGGAGTGCTTGTAAAAGTACAGGGCAGCAAAGTATAGGGAAATCCTGGAGGACAACCCTAATGCATTCTGCAAGAGAAGTGTGACTTGGGAGAAGACTTGTTTTTGAACAAGCGATTGACCTTTAGCATTCAGCCAAAGCTACGCAGAAATGGTTTAAAGGCAACAAAGTGAATATTCCGGAGTGGCTGAGTCAGAGCCCAGACCTCAATTCAATTGAGAATTTGTGGCTGGACTCGGAAACAGCTGCTCACTCAGGATCCCTGTGCAACCTGACGGTTTAGCAAAGAAGAATGAAGTGAAATTCCAGCGTGTATGTGCTGTAAATGCGGCCAAACATGCATCTACTAAACACTGGCTTAAAGGTAATGAGTACTTATGCAACCATTTATTTAACCCTTAATATACTTATTGACACTACTTTGCAGAAGTCTAATTTCACGAACATGTAAATTCTTGTCCAAAAAGCCAAATTAAATTTAGCATAATTTAATGTTAACAAGCGATTAAAGGATAAAGCTTCCAAGGGGGTGAATGCTTTTTGTGGGCACTGCCACACAGATTCTCCATTCCATTAGAATAAAACCTGATTTAGAAAAAAAAAAGACTCAAGAGCAGTGAAGGAGCTTGCAATGTCTCCATAGTTTGCTAAAATCTCACAGGAAGAAGGCTGAAATGTCTTTACTAAACATGAAGTGGACTCATCATCTTTTTAATAATGCTGCAAGTAGAATTTATTGCAGTGCTGTTGTATTGCATTGCAACAGATTGTACCAAACAACACGGCCGATGAGTGGATACAGCACGAATAATTATGGCCACTCTGTGATGGTACCATACTGAGAAAATGAAGCCAGGGTTTTGCTACTTCCTGGTTGACATCTTGGATTTTTGGAGCCAGTGACGCAAAAATCGTCGGAGGGGGGCGGAGCCATAGGAGCAGTGATTGGTCAGACGGATTGAGAGGCGGGCCCTCTCAACATTTAC